GGTTATTCTATTTCTTTTTTTTTTTTAGAGTTGTTTTTTTCAGAGGTGATTAGTAGGCCAAATAAAAGTTATTTTGAAAGTCAGTTTACTGCAGATTTTACATTTTTGACAATCAAGGTATATAAAGGCATGTTCACTGAATTTTTTTCTTCATATTTATATCACTGAGAAAAAGAATACTTGCATCAATTTTTGCATTAGCTAGAGTAAATTTTGATGCATTTTTACTGGGACAGATTGAAAAGTATAATATTTGTTGTATTACTATTAATTCTAGTAGAAATAAGTACTACTACACTATAACTAATGACAGTCAGTGATGTGGTATTAAAATGTTTTATGTCAGAACACCAGTTTAATTCTAATAAATTTCCTGCACACTTGGGCAAAATTTCTTAATAATATAGGTATATTTTAAAGTTATCATTTTAAACATACGACTTTAGTATTTTGAAATAGAGCATTTTAACGATACAACTTACAAGTTTGATACTATTTCTATTGATAAGTATTATTAGTATTACTACTACTAGAATTTAGAAAATATTGTATGTACAATTTAATTTTTAACTTAAATTTAAGTTTATTTTGCAATTAATTCTAATTATTCACAAAAAATACAGGAGTGGTTAATGATGAGTAAACTGTTAATTACATTTGTCATCAGACAAAGTACGCTTAAACCTAAGATATTAATGTCATGTATAATAATCTAATTATGCATAATAGTAATACAGATACTACTGTCAAGTATTGAGTATATGTTATTTTATTTTTAATAAGAAACAGCTATCACAAAAGTCAGCAACTGTCACTTAGCGATAGGAATTTTTTTTTATTTTTTGAGATTCTTGCATGCCAAATCAACAAAATTTTTATGTCCACATTGACCTTTGAGCTTACCATTTACCAGGAAATACAAAATACTCTATTACGCTACATACTTACTTTGAAATACGTAAAAACCTCCTTCCTCCTCACAAAATACCAAGTTATCCTCCCAAAGTATAAAAGCCGACAGCGATATAAACATCAAATGTGTCACGTGACACACACTGACGATAAGAAGCCGTTTCATATTCATAAATATAGACTTTTAAATGAAGAAAGATAATATAAATTATTTATTTATACTAAAAAACGTTAAAACAGAGATATAATATTGACATAGTGGTATTTTTCAATAACAATTAATGAGATCGTTTGTTTATAAGAAGTTATAATGGTTTTAACGGCTTATTTCTTTCAATGTCTTTGCACTGAAATGTTAAACCATTATGTTATGTCTCTGCTCGTTTGATAATTTCTGGTAGAAATTCTTCCCGAGAAAATTCAGCGATACAAGTCCTTTATTAAATAAAACTAGTTTATTCTTTCTCAATACAACTTTCCAATACACTTAATTTCCACAGTCACTTAAACACACACTATAATTCTCAAAGAACGATTCACGTACTTCCGTCTATATCTTCAATCTCTCTGTCTGCTATTCTAATTACGATTAATAATTTCCCTTCATCTGGCGCCCTTATATACAAGAATAGAGGG